TTTACATATTTACATATTTACATATTTACATATTTACACATATACATAGATACAACACAAGGACTATGTGGACTGTACAAGATTACCTTCCATCCCCACCGGTCCAAAGATAAGAAAGAGAGAGAGAGAGAAAGGGGGGCGGGCAGAAAAGACCAGGGGAAAAAAAAGAGGTGCTTGCTTGCTTGCTTACACTAACTACAAGAAAAAAAAAAAAGATAGAGGAAAAACGGAGGGATGAAGAAGCCTATCTGCCTGGCGTGAGCCCGTCTCGTAAGAAGAGACGCCGCGTGTAATTTTTTCACCAATTTTGACTGGTCTGGTCCTAAAGAGACGCTCGCTCGCTCGCTCTATGCGCTATGCACACACACACACTCTCTCTCTCCCTCTCTAGATCGGCAAACAAACAAACATGTTTCCCTTTCACTCAGAACCCTCGAAAGGGATCGATTCCAAACCCGCCATCAAAATGACCATAGTCCTCTTCCCCGGCCGTCTTGTGCCCGATCCCGCCACCGCCGCCGTCGAATTCGTCGCTCGGACGCCCCCCCTTGGCCGAGTAGATGCTATCCGTGTTCCTGCTCAACCGTCTCCGCCCCTTGATGTCGCTGCTGCGCCGGCGGCGGCGGCAGGGGATCGCCATGTCCATCTCGTCCTGCTCGTCGGGGAAGTCGTCGAAGCGGCTCAGCGCCATGGGGCTGATGAAGGCCTCCATGCGCATGGTGCCGACGGCGTCGAAGAAGTTGTTCACGACGGCGCCAGGTCGGCTGCTGGCGTCTGAGGTGCGGGCGGAAGAAGATCGGCCGCTGGCGCTCGTGTGGGCCTGGCCTCCGGCTAAGCTTGACGTCTGGGATGGGAAAATGTCGGCTGAGCCGGGTATGGCAACGCTCATGCTGGTTGTGATGGATTGAGCTTCGTGGCTGCTGGTTGGGCCCGAGAATCCCCGGAAGGAAAGGGGTGGTGGAATTCGACCACCAGTGTTGCTGCGCTTCCTACTGTGGGTCGGAACAGACGGGAAGTTGAATACTCCTCCTCCTCCTCCTCTTCCTTGTCCTCTTTCCGAGAAGCGAAGTACGACAGGTGGTTCAGCGGAGACCTCAGGTTGTATTGGGTCACTGTGTGAGTAGATGGACTCTGTTTCTCGGAAGCTGTTGTCGCGGTGAGACGAGTGCACGCTGGTTGGACCATACTGGGCGACCACTGTTTTCTTGCTTTTGGCGACCCGAATGGAGTCTCTGATTCCACCCTTGGTGAGCCTGTCGTTCTGCGCAGGCATCTCAGATTCGGGTCCAGCCGAGCGTGGAAGCGGAAGTGGCGATTGGACTATCTCGGGAATCGCTTGAGCAGAGTGAGCGAGGAAGGAGAGAGCCGTAAGCCAGATGTAGTGCCGTTCTGGTGTAGTTGCTGTGAACTTGAGGGCACGGGCTGGGGTCAAGATGAGGACAGATCTGTTAAACAGTGGCGCCGACCCCCTAGGTGGTGCGTTGTCATCTTTTACATCCAGGACGGATTGGATAGTCACTGGCGCAGTTAGTTATGTTTCTTCCGGAAATCGATGGTGGGCTTACGCTTTCGTCCAGTCTTGCCCATCAAGGCCGACCCAGAAGTAGGCTGCTTACTACTCCACATCACGGCTCTCTCGTAAGGAGCGAGCCAGACCCAGCGCTTGTGACGGACTCCAGTGGTATTTTCACCCTCAAAACCAGCTGGCTCGGATACACCAAACGACTTTCGCCGTCTAACGTATTTGAACATCCACTCGCCCACCATTGTCTGTGCAATCGCATCGACAACGCTTGTAGCGTTGCTTGTGGTGGCAACAGACGCAGTACAGGTGTTGATGGTATTAGTGGTTATGGCCGTGTTTATCGATGGCTGTTGTCTTCGATGAGCGCGTTGTCGACTGCTGCCCCTATCTCGCATGTACTGAGGGGTAGTGACATCGTTGCTCGGCATTGGGGGAAGACGAGGGCTTTCAGGAGCTTCCGTCGATGCCGACATTGGCGGAGATGATTGACTGTCTTGTCGTCGATGACTTCCACGACCTCCAGGGAGAGCAGCGGCAGATCTGACCTTTCGGATACTGTTCGCGCGATAATGACCTCCCCTGCTGGATCCAGATCCTCGCCCCCAAGTTGGACTTCTGCTCCCGTCACTGGGAGCACTGGTACTGATTGGAGTTCGCCTAGAACTCGCTCTAGTGGGAATTGGAAATGGTGGTGCTGTGATAGCTTCTTCAGGAAGACTTGGACTTCTAGAGCGCCCTTGATGAGCAAAGACACCACTTTGTATAAGGGCAGCTCGGCGCATTGTAGTTGACTTGTTGTTTGCGACTAAAGCTAGTGGCTTGTCAATTTGCCGCACCGAAGCCTTCGTGGTTCTTGACGGTAACTCCTGTACTTTTGGAAACGATGATTCGCCATCGCGTTCGTTTGCAATATGATGAGGGTCATTTCCTCTGAAGGGTCTAGAGACTTCTGCCTGATCTACAGTCTCAGACCCCGTCACAGTAGGTATGGACGAGACACGTTTGCTGAGTCTGTGGACACCCGCCTTGTGCCTTGGTGCAGACAAGGCGGTCCTGTAGTCATTGTCGCTTAAGTCGGCATCCGCGAATTCATCACCATCGTCAGAACTCACATTCTCGAATCCAGCGAACAAGCTACTGATCCGGCGTGGTCTTCTCATTGGCAGCGGCCCATCGTCATTATTCCCCGGATACACATCCCGAGTCTCTGCTGGGAGGGGTGGCGAGGATGGAATTTCCTGTTCCAAACTCGGACGACCCAGCTTGCGAAGAGGATTCCTGGGTGGGAGGTTCTCTGGGACAGAAGAGAAGCGATTCCTGGGAGAATCCTCATCTGGTTCAGGTGAAGGGGGATTTGAGGAGATTGAACATGGTTGGAGGTGAGTCGGCAGTAGATTCATGCGCCGTGCTACTCGGATTTCTTCTGTTTGCACCGAAATGGATCGGGTAGGGATGGGTACCTGCATAGCAACCTGGCACCCGGCATCCTTAGAGTGCTGAGGAAGCAGCGGTTCATGCGGTGTGCCAGGAGTTGAGTTCGGCGGATGCAACTGAATGGACGGGATTTCAATAGGTGGCAGCGGCGGGGAGGCACGTCTGAGGGACGGTGGTGATTGTATTTCGGGAACGTCTGTTTGTGTTGAGATGGAGGTCATTTCCCGTACCGGTACTACTACCGGCGGAGGTGGTGGTGCTCTGGTGGGTGATATAGGGGTCCGGGGAGGACTGAGAGGATGCTCCTGAGTTTGCGATGCTGAAGAAACCATTATAGTAGTTTCTGGAGTGTCAATCACCAATGCAGGAGTCGCATGAACACGCTTTCGTCTCTGATTCGCCTCAATCTCACATTCCCGAGGGACAGCCTCTGGCAATTGCTCGATCCTCACAGCTCCACTACCGTTTACTGGCAAGATTTCGGTGACAGACACAAGCTCAACCGCTGAAAGCTGGGGCGAAGGGGGAGGAGAGCATTGAACACTAGCGTCAGAATACTCCTTCTTAACAGGTACCAGTCCCGTTTCGTCATCTTCCATGATTCCACCTTCAAGTCTCTCTAGTACTGCTTGCTGAGCCAGGATTCTTTTGGCAACACTACCAGATCGCGCGAGGCTTTCCAAGCTCTGGTCCCGGCGGTGACCTTTGGACAAAATGCCCTCTCGACTGTGGTTCCTTTCATGTCTGAGTGAGAGGGCGCTTTCGCGGCCCTCATGATCTGTGTCATCGTCTTCCTCATCCAAGCCCAGCTCGTCAGCCAAGCTCACACCGTTGATTTTGGCACCTCCGTATCCGTTTGGCCCATTCAACATGGAGAAGCGGATGCTGTTCGTTATGCTCATCGTCCGGATGCTTGTAGCATCACTTCCATGGCCATTTACAGGATCCCTCGATCCCTCCTCACTTTCATGTTGAACATGGCCGATAATTTGAGCCTGGTACGTGGCGACTTCATCCAAGACAGTCTTCAGTCGCGTCTCGGCCACGTGAGCCTTGCGTTCCAGTGTTCTCCTTTCTTCCTCCCACATGTCTCTGTCCCTTGCCCATAGAGCATGCGCGCGGTCCGAGTCTTCCTTCTGGCTACGCATCTTCTTCTGCAAACTCTCGATTCGCCGCTTACTCTCAACACTTGACTCAACAGCGTTATCACGCTCCCTAGCGATATCTGTAATCGCTGTGGACGTCCCCCCTTCAAGCAAAGCCAACTCTCGTTTCAGAGCTCTGTTCTCCTTCGACGTTTCTGCCAGGCTCGCTTCCAATACTTCATGCTCGCCCCGGGCATTATGCAGGTCCGCCTCCAGATTTTCGACAATTCGGACATTCTCCTCCTGGTCCCTCCGCAGTGCTAGAATTTCGGAGACTAGATTGGCGTGAAGAGTCGGAGTAAATCGTCGCGGATCGAGTATCGAAATACTATGTCACCGTCAGTTGTGCATAGACAGACCATCTGTCGGAGAGCATTATCTACCTCTCATCATTGGTAACGTCATTGGATCCCTGCCGGTCGCCACTAGGCAGCGGAAGGGGAGACGATGATGGGCCTGGAGATTTTGATTTTTGGCGAGATGAGCGGCGCGATCCACGAGATGGCGTTCTGTAAGGTGTATCCGCCGGAGTAGGAAGGGACGCTTGAGCAGCGATAGCATACTCGTCCTCGGTCTCCCAGGCACTCATCTCTTGCTGATTCCCCCCGGAATACCTTTCAATCACCCTCATACAAAATTTTGTCGAAGCGTCGGCATAAATTGTAAGTGTCCGCAGCTGAAATCGGAATTGGTTTGAGATTAAGGATATGAGACTATCCTAAGATATGGCCCTTTTCTGACCGGAGTGGATATCAGAGAACTTTGATCTGAAATATGTCAGTTGGATAGGTTGAGAAACGACATAGTCCCATGAAAAGGAGTCGAGCTGCTCCGAGGAACGTACTTACGATAACAAACTTACAAAAAGAAACAGTGCAGTAAATAATCGCTCTGATCGCAAGTACAAAGGAAGGCGATCAGTTGAATTTGGCCGAGAAGCGGCGGGAAGAAGAAGTAGGGCCCTGCGTTATTGAGCATTGATCGGAAAGGCTCGTTGGCTTTGTGAACCCGACGTCTATGCCATAGAGATATCCCGACTCGGATTCCAGTCTCCTGTCTGCCAGTTATCGATACCCAGTCTCTCTGCTCTATACGCCCTCTTCACTCATGTCGACTGCTGGCTACGACACTGCAGAGATGGCGCCTTCAGATGTGTCTGGCGAGTGGTAGTTAAGAGCAGGATAAGTAATGCAGCCGGATACGTTGTGAAGGAAGTCGGGACCTCGTCCTCTGTCGTTACTACTATCCACGCCGATTATCAGCCATAGTGTCCGATGTAGAAACGCCTCGCCAGCCGTTGGGGACCGATCACTGTGGAATTCGACGCAGATTGTATAACTCAAAGAGAAGGTGTTTGAGGAAGAGCGAGGAGGACATACCGTCTTGCAGATTCACGACTCAAAAAGAAAAACGGACTTTTTTTTTTTTACAACGGAAGCGTGTCGACGGATGTTACTCGAGCTGAGCTGTTAGTTGGATGCCGAGTATCCAGGTTACGGATACTCCGTGTACTGTATGTAGCTGGACACAAATGCTTCAGTTGTTCGTAGTCGTCGTGGTACCTCACGCCGCGAAGGATAGACAGGAATTTGTTCTCAAATAGAGCAGCACACAACAGTAGAGCTGGACGAGGATAGCAGATCGGAGCAGATGAACGGAGATGAAGACTGGGTACCCCTCTCGACAAGTAGAGTAGTTGACGGTCGTCGGAGAGTTCCCTTTTGCGGTTAATAGATTTTCATATCGTAAAAATACCGGCTAGGGGCGGCTCCTCTGCGTATTATTAGAGTAATCGGTAGATACTGAAAATATATACATATATATGTATAGATACCGTACGAATGTAGTAGTAGTAGTTGTACCGATATAAGGGAAATTGGCGGGGGGAGGGGCAAGGGCTCTAGATAAGTACGGAGTTACCAGGGAGTTGGTTCAGGGGCAGAAAAGATTGCGGACCGTCTCTCGAGACTCCAGTCTCTCCCATCCCAGCACATACTACTACATCCCACCACATACTACTACAATTACAACCCACCACCACATCTTCTCATCACATCTTCCCATCACGTCTCGTCACGTCTCGTCACGTCTCGTCACATCTCGTCACATCTCGTCACATCACATCGTACCCCATCACTTCAACCGTCGTCCGGTAACGTCTGCTCTGTCAACCATTCAGCCAGCTAGTTGTACCAAGTACAACGAACCCAACCACCTTCCTTCTGACTGCCGTATAGTATCCGTATGTTGGCAAATGATCCTGCGAGTGGACTTGCAAGGCTTCGGATCAAAGCCGTCCGACCCTGCTGGCTCCAGTCCTGGCCTTTGGGCCCTGGACCCTGGACCCTGGATGGGAACGAACGCCGAACGGACGAACGGGCGAACGAACCCAAACCGGCCGATCTTCTCCACCAGGCGATATTGGCCACAGTATGATTTACTACGTACTAAGTAAATGTACGTAGTACTACTAGTATCGCGGCTGGCTGAGCTGCCTCGGCCGGGGTTATTATTGGATCTACTACGTAAACAATCAACAAAGCTTTGTTCAGCAAGAGATCCGTCCGGAGACCGACCGGCCTGCACCGGGGCGCATCCAATCGGAGAATTCTACGAAGGAAATAGTACTACTAGTACGTAGTAGTATCCAACAATGAATGGGTTGTGCCGAGAGCATAAAAATGTTGAATTTAGACGAAGGAGAGAGTGAGGAGGAGGAGGAGAATGCGAAGGATCAGCCAAGCAGGAATGAATACCTATCCAACATGGAGAATTGTCGCCGCTCCGTACAAAGTCCGCAGATGCAGCTTGAAGATCACGGCATCTGGATGTCCGGCATATGGTCGGACTGCTGAGTAATGGCATGCATTCCGAGTAAGCAATATGAAGAGAATTGCGGCCTCGCAACCAGCTTCCATGGATTCCTTGGGGCTGCATTAGTCCACCCGGGCCGAAGGTCCGATTCGAGTCAACGATCGGCGGTTGCGGTGCTTACCGGTACTTCATCGAGGGAGAGAAACTTCAGGTTCCTTCTCACCAGAGTACGCGACGGCTACGCAGGTTCGGTGATACAGCATATGCAGGTTGGTACCCTGTTGACACGCGTGCACTTTCACGCACGAAATTGTAAAACTATAATTTAGTTATACTTTACCAACCATTCGAGTCATGCGTACTACTACTACGTACCTACTACTACCACGGTACAGGCCTAAGTATTACCCCTCGAGGGTGCCTTAAAAGTTTAGTTTCCACTTTAAACCCCCTGTTTTCCATACCCTCGAGGGGTAATACTTACGCCTGCGACGTAGTATGTCCAGCCGCGAAGAGGCCGTCCCTCCTCTACGTAGGAAAAAGCCTTGATCAACGCTTATCAAACACCAAGTATTGTGCAAGCTGGCAGGGGACTCAACAAAGCAATATGAGATCGACCTAGAGTAATTCACAAGCACTCCAGATCCACTTCGACAACTACAAGTCAAACACGTCCGACGATTTAGCCGGGTCAGTGGGTGTTTTCCGCAGGGGAAGAATGATCGTACCGGTACTCCATAGGTGCCTCGTCTTGTCCCCTTCCTTGTCCGTTGGAGAGGTTCGAGGCCAACCATCGGGACGACCGCGTCAAAGCCCTTATCTCAAAAAAACCGCAAGAAAAACCTGCTGCCCCGGCTCACCGGCACCCTCTTTTCAGAAGGCTTCAAACATCCTCGATCCTCGATCCTCGATCCTCGATTCCTCGTACAATCGTACACTCTATTCTAATAACTTGACTACTGTATACTCATGCAGTCAACAACGCGGATCTCCTCGCGATTACCTTCTCATCCTTATATTGCAACTTTGGTTTGGACTTCAACATCTCGGAACCGACCTAGGAGATAGGAATTGCATCATACCCATCCTATCCCTACGGAAGAAAGAGGCTCACAATTCTACTACGTAGTATTTCTAAGGCTCTGTTGTGCCTCAACCTACGTAGTACTACCGTACATAGTACTGCTACCTTAATTTCACCGCCAAACCTAGCTCTAAGTTCAACTTATTAAAAAAAAAAGTGTCGCCCCGAACTTTAATGAGTATAGCCGGGCGCTCTTTAGTTTGTTTACCTTGTCTCATTGCATACCTTAAAGGACGATCCTCGTCATTACAGTAGTAATGAAATAGTAGGTCTTCGTACTACTTTGTACTATTACAAGAATATCAAGTATAGAAATTAATTTCAAGAGCATAGCGAAAACGTTTCCAATGCTCTATCTCCTAGCTTCCGTTTCCACGTTTTCCACGGACGGGCCGCGAGTTAGTTCTACTTAAACGAGAAGTCTGCTCCGACATTAGCATGAACCCAGCCGTTTTAGTTACAGTATCTACTTACAGTATCCTTTGCGATCACCAACCTTTTCAATTTCGGACTCTGGGCAAAGCTCAAAAGGCAGGCAACATTACACGACTCGGCTTATCTCAGCTTTGCGTATGGTTCATTTCGGATAAATAATCTCCCTGCAAGGTTAACAAGATTATTCTCTGTAAAACCTCCCCGGTATTACGCGTGCTGCTCTCCTCCGCCTCCGGCCACACGGAAAGTTATGGTAAACAAGCCTCGTAAGGCGTCGTTACTTCCATAGCGTACGCCTCGAGATGTGGATCGCCGCGTACCACAACTCAGTCTCCTGCTCGCGCCTGCTTGCCAACAAATTTACGGAGTTCGCTCGGTTGGGGAACCCAATCCAATTTCCGCCTTGACCATGTCGATTTTGTTTTCGCAAGCTGTTGCCATTGTTGCCATCGATCGTTGCCATCCCACGGAACTCTGATCCGGGCTTCGAGGTGCGGAGTGCAACCACGCGGCCTCAAGCTAACATGATACGTAGTAATTCGCAAATACAAGAGTGGGAAGGATGCATTGGAGTAGTTCAACAATCTTCTCTGTAAATACCAGGAGCTTAGTTGATACCGAACCTCCTAGCTAGCTCCAAGAAGCCGCCTTCGTCCTGCTTGACCCAGATATCAACCCACTCCTTGGCATCTTTATACTCCTCTGAATCATGGCTCCAAGCTTCCTCTTGAGGCCTGTCGACATAGATCGTCTTGAACCCCTCCTGCCTCGCGCCTTTGAGGTCGGCCAAATGCGCGGCGACCATTGCCACCTCGCTCGTCTGCAGCCCCATCGCCTTTGCAGCCCCCTGGTAGACCGAAGGATGCGGCTTGTAAGCCTTAAAGTCAGCCGAAGACTGCAACTTCTCGAACCTGAGGTCCCCATGCTCCCGCAAGTCCTTCAGAAGCGCCTGGTTGCCATTCGACAGCGTCGACGTGACGAACTTCGTCCCCAGCTTGCGCAACCCGGGAGACGAGTCTTCCCAGGGATCCAGGAAGTGCCAGACGCGGCTCAGCTCTTCCAGCTCGTCGGCGGTGTACAGGCCCTCGAGGCCCCATCTCTGCAGCAGCTCGATGAGGGCGAGGTGGTGGTGCGTGTCGATGTCTCGCCACCTGGTCTCCCCCGGCACGAACGCCTGCGTGAAGAGGTAGTATGACTTACGCCACTCCGCTGCGAATCGGGCCCAGTCGTCGTCGTCTAGTTCCGAGAGCCTCTTGCGGACTTCTGACGAGAGGTCTGCTGATCGGGACGACGAGGGGGAAGTCTTTGCCGCTGCGCTCTGGATGAGTTTGGATACTACGGTGTCTCTCCAGTTGACCTGGACTCACTCACTCTATCAGTATTCATATTCGGCTATTTCTCGTCGCTCGTGGGTGCAAGTCGTCACGGCATGGCTGGACTCCGTACCGTACGCACATTGATAGGTGTTTACATAGGCACCTGCTAGCTAACGGAATGAGTACTCACCACAGTCCCGAAAACATCGAAGGTCAACGCTTTGGGCGGCGATTGAAAGATGTCAGATTTGGAAGCCATGTTGGTCAAGATCACACCAGATTTTTTTTTTCTTTTTTTCCTTCTCTCTTTTCTTGTTCTTTTCAAGATTGTAAGAGGGAGAGGTGATGAGGGAGAATAAATGATCAACGGCCCTGCTTGCCCTTCCCGAGGTTCTCGATCCATCGAATTAGTAAGTCGGCACGGGGTCGAAAAGTTGAGAATTTCTTGGCAGTAAATCGTTTATCCGGCTCGCAGACTGCCTGCTGTTAGCCAGTTACGCTGTGCGTCATGTCAGTGACGTATCAACAAGAAGGGGGCAGCTATACACGAAGCAGTTATATCTCATCCGCCAAAAGAGATCGTCCTGCACATGAAGAATGATACGATTATATCGGTTGTTCGTGGTTTTTGAACTGTACCATTGGGTTTTTGATATTTTTTTTCTTTCATTTTATCTCAATTGTATTCGCAGAATCATCTGAGAGGAACCCAGGAGGGGGTTGGAATGTGGCTTGCTGTTTGCCGTTTGATGCTTGATGCTCGATTGATCTCAAGTGAGCGAGAGAAAGCAATGAATGGCATGGCGTGGTATAGAATAGCTTCAGCGAACCTTTCATATTTTTTTTTTAAAAAAAACTTCAGCTTTGTATATATATATACATATATACATATATACATATATATGTAAGCCTACAGCTATACGAAGTAGTTAAGAGTCGTAGCGTACTCGTATATGAATCATCTTTCCATTCCTATTCCATTTTAGCACATGTGTGGAAGTGGAAACACAACGGACTTTTTTTTTTACGGGTGGGTTATTTACGTTGGATCTTGGTGCGTGGTGTGGTATGGTATAGTATGGTATGGTATGGTGTCTTATGTGGAGTATAGTATAGTATAGTATAGTATTCTTGGATCTTTTGCGGGCTTTGAAGAGAGGTAGGAGTGGATTTTGGAGCGATAGTTGGTTCTTCTTTTCGATTACTCAGTTTGGAAGAATATAAAAGATACTAATAATAGTTCAAGAGTCTTGAATAGATCGATACTCGATCGATGCATCATAATCACGGGTAGCGATATCAAGAAAGAAAGGGCAAACAAATGGGAATGAATGGAGGAGAGAAAGAAACGCTAGGTATATAAGAAGGAAGGAAGGAAGGAAAAATGCCTTTTAAATATTTATCTCCTTGACTGCACGGAGCTCTGTTTGCTTCGCTTGCTTTCCTTGCTTAGCCGAGCAGTGTATCTTGCATTAGAAAGCGGCATACGATTGAAGATGACAGCTGTAGCATTCATGCCGCATGGTGTGTTATACGAAGTAGCACATAGAGTGCTATCTACAACAATTGTTGAATATTATATGTATAAAAGGTGTCCGCGCGGCTTATCGGCTTTCACCATCCGTAGCAGAGAGAGACTCTGAGAGAGGTACGCACTTAGTCGCATGCATTAGCTTGGTAGCTAGCGTATGTATATATAGGTATATATACATACATATATGTATATGATAATCTAATCCCCAGATCCTCAAGTTAGTCATAGAAACCCGAATCAAACATCAAAACAGAATAGCATTACTATTCTCTTACCTAAGTATCCCTTACTTAAAAACATAAACTGATACCCAATTCATTTAATATACACCTGGCCATCTAATATCTTGTATCCATGACTTGACCGCTAAAAAGTAATCTAAATTAAAACTCCATTCCATTCCATCATAATATATATAAACCTCGCTTTAATCACAAGCCGGTCTTTCATATATATTCATATCTACTTAAGGTATAGTCATTAAAATTTTCTCATCTCGCGTACCTAGCTCAGCCTAGCTCCAATCTCCTTTCCCGCAACTAGGTAAACTGCCCTGCAAGACTACAAGTACCGGCATGTACCATTCGTATTAGAAGAGAGACTTTATAAGATTTAGGCACTTAGCAGCATGCATTAGCTATGTAGCTAGTGCATATGTATATATCTATATATACAATCCAATCCCCTAATCCCAAACTCAATCACAAAAACCCACATCCAAGATCAAGACAAACCAACATTTCCATTTTCTCTTACCTAAACTATCCCAAGCCTAATACCACAAACCTCATACCCAGTTAGTTCATTTAACACACAATCAGCCATCGAATATTTCTATATCCATAACTTGACCGCTAAAAAGTAGTCTAAGTTGATACTCCATTCCATTTCATTCCATTCCATTATAATATATATATAAACCTCGCTTTAATCACAACCCAGTCTTTCATACATATTCATATCTACCGGTACTTAGGTAGAGTCATAAGATTTTCTCATCTCGCCTACCTATCTCAGCCTAGCTCCAATCTTCTTGTTCCGCAGCTAAGATGCTCTCTGCAAGATTACAAGCCGAGATTTGATACCTCTCTCGATTACTTTTTTTTTTTATTCTTTTTTTTTATTTTTTTCTTTTTTTTTCTTTTTCTGTTCCCCTTACTCACTTACCTTTCGGGACAGGAAGGAAGTAACGAGTGGAAGTGGATTAGGGTATATACATGTATAGTATATAGTACAGAAAAAAAACCCCTTTTTTTTCATCGGAAGAAGAAATGGAATGAAAAGACCTTGCTTGTAACTATCCGCAAGAGCAAGAGTGATGGTGATAATGATGATAGCGGCGGCGGCGAAGATGTTGGTGTTATAAATGATTACGTGAACCTCGTATTTAAGAATAAATGGACGCAGCGTAGCTGAACTTGCGAAGTAGCTAGGTTAGGATAGGTTAAGTAGCTAGGTAGGTTAGCTTGGCTAGCTAGCTACCAATCCATTCATTCTACATCTCTTTATATCCAGTTTCCAAATGCCCCCCCATTCTCTCTTTACATATCAATCGAGAAGTCGAAAAATCGCTCCTAAAATCCGTACACAGAGAGGATATCAACTTGGGAGAAGAACACGGAGAAAAAAAAAAGAGGAAAAAAAGACATCAGAAAAAAAATGATTAAATAGGCTTGTCTGCAAGATGATGATGGCTGCGAAGATGATGTGACATGAATGACCATGTAAACCCCGTGAATGACCCCCCTTAACATACGCCAAAGCACTCAAGACCTCCTCCTCCCCCCTCCCCCCCCCCTCCCCGCTTTCAAAGGCGGCGACGAAGGCCTTCAAAAATTATCGTTAATTTTCTCTTTCGCCCTTTCCTGTCGAGACGGGAGTTCGATGTTGTGTGTTCGTTTCGGTCAATGTCCTCGTTACACATCCCCCCCTCCCCTCCTGGTTCCAGCCCCCATGGGAGAAAAGGATATTTACGCCGTATGCCGCTTCTCTTTTGGGACTCCATGCGCCGATTCAATACAACGCTGTACTAGAGGACTGGAGAAGGGTCGTGGTGGAACGAATGTCACATAGACAACAGGTAGGTAGGTCCGGCCTTGCCAAAACGGCCAGTTGCGCCTCGGGCGTAACCAAAAGGGAGGAAGGTGGCCCTCATAATATGGTGCATTTCCCGCGCTTCTTGTCGGGACGATAGATTCTATTGGAATCTCGGACTGGTCCTTCGCTGCCAGTCTGTGTCCGTTGCCCTCTGCCTGAGCCTTGGACTGCCTTCATGGTGGTTTGCATCCTTTGGCGGCGCAGCTGTCGTACTACATCGTAGAATGCCTTTTCCACATTGATGCAGTTCTTTGCTGATGCCTCGACAAACTCGCATGCCAGCTCCCGTGCTAGGGCGTGACCTTCTTGTGTTGAGACCTCCCGCTCCGTGACTCGGTCGCTCTTGTTTCCAACAAGCATTATAGGGACCGGTGCTGACGGCGCTACCGAACATATCGGGGATCCGGGATATGATGGGGAAGATGTCGAGGATTCTTTGACCCTTTGGATCTGGTTGTGAAAGCGTTGAATCCGTGTGAAGGATGACCTGGACGATATGCTGTAAACCAAAACAAAACCCTCCCCGTCGCGAATCCATTGATCTCTCAGCGCGGTATATTCCTCCTGCCCGGCCGTATCGAGTACCTCCAGCATACACGACTGCCCATCTATCACCACTTGTTTTCGGTAGGAGTCTTCGATGGTCGGATCATACTAGAGGGATGTAAGCATGTGTACCTCGAGGCAGCCAGGAGCATGTGTAAGTAAGTATGTATGTATATCTCTTGGCCCCTGGACCAGCAGCAAAATCTTACCGTCTCGACGAAATGTTGCAGCGTCAATTGTATGGTCAAGGCCGTCTTCCCAACGCCTCCGTCTCCCAGCACAACTAGCTTGTACAGCACCATCTTGCCCGCCATGATGTGGGCAGGGAGGCCTTTTATGCGGGCGAGCGGACGTTGAGGATATGGGGGGGGGGAGGGGGGGGGGGAGGTGGGAGGTGGGAGGATGCGGTCGCGTATAGGGTTGCAGAGATGGTGCAGGAAGGTTGATTCAGGCCTATACGTGATGTGATGCCCACAGTCAAACGGTCGGTCGGTCAGTAAGTCAGTCAGTTAGTCAGTCCTATCTGGTGGAGCACTCGAGCTGTGGGTGAAGATGTCGAGATCGTTCTGGACCGCTGTTCTGGTCTGGTCTGGTTAAGAGAAGCTCGGACTTGAGGTGTAGTGTGGTCTCTGGTCTGGAGGTGGGAGGGTGTTACTGTAATAATTGTTGCGATAGGCCGGTGAGCGATAAGTACTGCTGCATCCAGAAATGTGCCCGACGTTCGCCTTTTCTCTAGAGGCCGTAGGCAAAGTCGTCCGCGAATAAAGGATGGCGGCGATCTTGATATTTGAGAAGAAAAGAATATATGATAGCGAATATTCTCACTCGATCTCTCTCTCTCTCTCTTTTTTCTTCCTCGCTTTTTTTCTGCTTGTCTTCAAGGTGGCGATATGGGGTAGATTGTTGTAGGTTTGGTGGCAATTCTCCGACCATGAGGCCCAGGGAGGCTGAAGGGGCAGTAGAACCTTCTTCCCTCTTCCCTCTTTGCGGAAGGCAAGGCCGACGACTCGACCACAGCAAGGAAAAAACTACTGGCTGGCTGGCTGGCTAGATAAGAATCAACTAGGTTTCTAGACGCCCAACGCGGAGGAGCAGATCCTAGGGTGGAATAGATTGGAATTTTGGAGCCGATAGATGAAAGCTGATGGGGCCTGCAGTCCCGTCGTCGCCAGGAGTCGTGACCGGGACCGGAAAGGGAAGTACAAAGACAGGTAGTAACAGTAAAGTATCAATTTGAGCTGGAGCTGGACGAGAGGTGGACGTGAGGTGCGGTGCGATACAACACGATACAATACGTAGGGAACGGTAGGATATTGGAAAAGGTAGGAAGGAGCATAACTACAGGTACCCAACAGGCAGCAGGCAGATAACAAGCAATAATACCTCGAAGTAATTTCTATACAAGGCGAGGTATATGATGGATATAAATAGGTAAGTAGACGGTCCCGACCAGGAGGGTGTGCACCGCACAGCAGCTCGAATAGGTACCTATCCGTAGAGAGGTAAGTATATTATATTATGTACCTATCTATCAACCGTTCTCTGCCTATCTTGTTGACCGAAAGAATCCTAATCAACGACTTAGTTATATACATACACTGTAGGTAAGTAAGGTGTATATACCCATCTGCCTTCTTATTTTATTTATAGTATCCCGCTTGCCCACTATCTATCTGTCTATCTGATACACACACACACACACAAACTTCCAACTTCCAACCGACGTACCCGACCAGCAATAAAGAATAAACTAGACAAGCAGCCAGGAAGGCACTGGGCAGGTGGGGGGCTTCTTGCTTGCTTGCTACTTGATCGGCTAGAAAGGGCGGAGAGAGAAAAAGAATTGTCCGTAGTGTTCTCTCCCAACCTTTTTTTTTTGCCTTAGAAGATATTGGGAGGGAGGAGGTAGATACTGAGAAGGGGTCTATTCTTCAAGAAAGGGGGAACTAATAGTTATAGACATCCATGTTTTAGGATTTGAAAGAACGTCTAGTTGAAGGTTGGCATGCAATCAAACAACTCTGATCGATGCAGCTCAGAGAGGCTCGAGGGGATTTGAACTGGAAAACCTCATGAAAAAATTGAAATGAGATAGGATAAATTCCCTTCCGATTCATAATCATTTAACCCTCGCAAGAATTACTTGCTTCCCCAGACAGTACCCTTCAACAGATGCAGACGGAATTTTACTGTTCCATGAAGTAGTATTTTTCCGTATAATCAATCATCTTCTAGTGAAGCCCACGATTGATCGATCAAATAGCCTCCATCCGTCCTGATGAACCCCCCTGAGGATATCGAATCCTATATGCGCCAGCCGAATCGCCTAAAAAGTGTCTGAGAATATTAACAAAAAAAATCTTATCCGTCGCGTCGAAGAAGCTGCCATCAAGTCATGGCTAGAACCTGCATGGTTTATCATCACCCAGCATTGATCATATCACTCTTTAACTTCGTTCTCATCTCCAAAAGGTGTACTAGCTCTGTTTGGCTCCGTCGCACCATCCGCTTTCTTCACGGTTGCTTCTTGAGAAGCGGCAGTGCGATTAGTATTGGTCGATTGACGGACAGCAGAAGAATCGCTAAAAGGGCCTTGACCGAGACTAGGGGTATCGTCGATGATCGTGATAGAGTTGGAATCTCGAGCCAGCGGGCTTCCACGTGGCTTATCAGGGCTCAGCATGGTAGCAGGTGGAGCCATTTTCTTCTGAGCGGTCACAACCCGGACGACTTGAGGTTTGACCGGCGTAGCTGTGTTGGCGTTGTTCAGAAAAGTAGATCCAACGCTGAATGCGGGACTTGGTGCTCTATCGTCTTTACCAAATCTAGTAAAGTCGACGCTGGGTACAGGTGGTGTCACATCACCGGGTTGGGTACCGTTCGACTTGACACTGACAACGGCAGCCTTGCCTCGAATCATCGTCTGGGCGGGGACAGGAGCTACAACAGCATTCTTCCCGTATATTGTTGACCCGATACTTGTTCTGGCATAGGACATCCGGTCACTGACGCCCGAATATGTCGAGTCTCTGAGGTCGCCGGGCATAAAGAAGTGTTCTTGCTCGTGTCGAGGGGTGCTGGCCTGCGATAGGGCAATGGGAATCGGAGGAACGGGAGGGACCAGGAGACCAGGCGTCGATGGAGCGGAACGATTGGTGACACCGGGAATGTACGCAATCTGAATGATGTTGGAAGCACGAGTGAGAACAGTAGATGCTATCGAAGCCACCGTGTGTGTTGAAGCTCGTGCCTCTCGTCTCCTCGCGAAGTCTTTCTCGGCTTCGGTCTGGTCGTCCGGATCTTCGCCCCAGTTCTCCTGCTCGTATTGTTGTCTCTTTGCCTTGATACAGAATTTCCAGACGAGGTAGGTGACGATAGCAATGAAAGCCAACCCTCCAATGACTCCACCGGCAATCGCTGAGACGTTAGGGCCGGAACTCGGTGCATCTGTGGATGTGCTGATAGTGGAAGGATTCGCAGCGTCTTCAACGCATATGGTTTTCTGACATTCTTCACAGGTCGGGGGAACGAGAGAGCAGACTTGGCCTTCAGGGCAGGTAGCTGGACAAGCAGGTGACTGGTTGCCGCATCCTACACATCGTCGGAAGATACCATCGAAAGAGACTGTGAAGTTATCAGTATGGCAGCGCAGCAGGCAGAAGATGAAGACGAACTTGAGCCATAGTAAGCCATATTGAATAGCTTTTCTTTTATATTTGATTATGAATGCAAGGTATACGGCCTGTAGGAATTGGGTGGGAGCAGGTTTTGGGTCGGCGTCGAGGTCGAGGTCGACTCGGAGGATGCGGGAAGGATCACGAAGTGTCCAGGCAACGACGCTGTATCACGGATATGGGGCCGCGGCTCTGATTCGTTACCGAACGATTCGAGCCGGGTGGTCAAGAAACGATTGTTCGCTGAGATGCGAGTTCCCGCGGGCTGAGGTTGAGGCAGAGATAGAGGTAGAGAAAGACCGGAGTGGATGTGGAGGTGGAGGTGGAGGTGGAGGTGGATGTGGATGCGGATATATAGGAAGAGCGGATAGCGAAAAGAACGTGAGAGAGAACGAGCTCTAGGGGTGAATGCGTCGAGCGCGACACGCCTACATTGACATTCGATGTCTCGAAGCACACACAGGAGCGACGACGACAACAACGATTGAGGACGAGGAAGTCGGTGGTCGGTGGTCGATAGCGGGTTTTTTCGTGGGGATGAGACAGGTGGTAGGGCAGGTTGGCTGGTGGTAGACGGGGTCTTGGAGATGGGATGGATGGTGGTGTGGTGGTTCCCAGGTGTGAGATATTGATGGGTTGACGGGGCTTGACCGGTTGACGGGGGTGGGAAGTTCGAGAAGGGATCGGCCGCCTGAAACGCACGCTAGTGTCGGCTACGCGGTATGTGACTGGCTAGATTGGCGGATTAGTGGGACGATGTGGGGTCTTACAATCTTACAGTGCAGTATTCTAGTGGGGCCTTTGGATTACTGAAGGGGCTGAGGGGGTTCGTGCGCTCGAGTTCAAGAACGAAGAAAATACGGAGATACGGAGCGGGCAAGTGACCGGTCCTCCCTCACGAGTCACGAGGGATCCCGGGATCTCTGACCATGGAGAAAGAAAAGTCACGTTTTCGTGACGTATTTCTGATTTCCATCCGAGGAATGGAACTGCCATCTTAGCCCTTGAACCTTAACTTATACAAGCTACTCACGCGCACTTGCTCTGTATACCGGCCGGTACCGGTACTCACTCACTACCGCAATAACCTGCGGAACTGACACTATCGGGAAGGATTTCGCTCCCATATATACAAGTATCTCGTCCGCCGTTGGTACTTACTTAGACACTTGTTAATGACATCCGTACCGGTAGATGGTCTATCGACTACTGCTAGCTTCGATCGTCAACCCGCCCTCCAAGAAGAAGAAGCTCAGCCGCCCGCCTAAGCCAGGCGGCTGAGCGACGGAGCGAAGCTGAGTTTTGAGCTGACTTGAGCTTGCGCGGAGTTGCCCTTTCTTTGTTCAGCTTGGCGAGTAGGTGGGTACCGCTAGTACTACATAAGTACCTACTATGTACATAGTACCAGGTCGGTACAAATATGACTGATTCTTCCTTCATTCTTTGTTGTGGGAAGGGAAGAGGTTGGAGTTGCTGAGATGCGGATATCATGTCTCTAGTGGACCCTACTCCCTGCCCTGTAGTACTAGTACTATTACTTCTCCTATTTACTCCTATTATTTAACCTTATCTACTTACTCCTTATTTACTTACTCCTCAAGTATTTACTTACCCCTTATTTACTTACTCCTGATTCTAAGCGCGTGCCCAGCGAGTGGGGGGTTTCTCCAACCTATAGACGCCGCGGGCTTGCCCCTTATTATGGCATGGCATGGCATCGTCGCAGCGCTTTGCATTGCATGATTTGCATTGCTGCTGCGTCTTCAAGCTGTGGCGGCTCGTTTTCGTTCCGGTTGAGGCGCAGTGGTCGGTACTTGGGCCAGTAAGTATACGTTGTAGAAGTAGCACAGCTGAATTGGAGGTACCAGGGAGGAGAAACGTCAGTAGAAATAAAAATAGAAATCGAAATCGAAATCAAAATAGAGTCAGATCTGTATCGGTATCTCGTCAGGGAAGGGTCCTTGCTCTGGTACACGCCAACCAGCACAACCTCATTCGATCCACTCCGCTCAGAAGCGAGAACGACTTCCCGACTTACCGACCACCTGAATTCACCTGCATCTGCGCCTCCACTGCTTCTCCTCCTCCATCCTCCTCGCCACGGCTACCTCCCCTATTATTTGCCGCCTCTTCCCCATCCTTTCCTACATCCTCAACCAACCTTCTCACCCACCCGGCATCCTCTTCCCCTTCCGCTGCAAATCTCTTGCAGATCGATCGACTGTCCGACGTGGACGTCATTGTTGATGCACCCCGACTCTTCCCATATCACCCTCCCAGCAGCACGACGATACCCACAAACACGAACCAAATCACCACGACCCCCCCCCCCCTCCTCCTCCCCCATCGCATCGATCTCTAGTGCCATCACAGGATAGACTCGCAAAACAAAATGGCGTATCAAGGCGGCGGAGGTGGAGGCTACAAGCCCCAGGAGCTTCAAGACCTTCCGCCTGGAGGCAGTGTAAGTTCTCTGTTCTCGACTCGGTGAGTTGACCGTTCGTCACGATCTGACTTGCCATTTCTAGTACCATCTACCCCCTCACGATGATGAAGAAGAAGCACCAGGACATCAACCTCTCCTGCACGCACAAAGTCCCGGCGGCCCCTTCACGAGTCCCTACGACAGCAACGACGGCTATCTTCGAACTGGCACCCCACCTGTCAGACCAACATCGACCTACAGTCTGACTGAATCATACGCTGTTCCCGGAGGAGGTGCGCCGGTGCCGTATACGAACAGCGACTACGGAGGAAGCGTAGGCTCGACGGCATATGGCCATACTCTCGAGGATACTCCGTACCCTCGATCCGAATCCCCATACTCCAGAGCCGATACGAACTCGACTGAAGCATGGCGCCAGCGACAGGCTCCAGCGGTTGGGCCAGGTGGAGGACTAAAGCGGTACGCAACCAGAAAGGTCAAGCTGGTCCAAGGCACTGTCCTGAGTGTCGACCATCCAGTGCCGTCCGCTATCAAGAACGCAGTCCAGGCCAAGTACAGGAACGACGTTGAGGGTGGCAATGAGGAGTTCTCGACTATGCGCTACACGGCTGCTACTTGTGATCCCGACGAGTTCACACTCAAGAATGGTTACAATCTACGTCCGGCAATGTACAATCGTCATACCGAACTTCTCATCGCAATCACCTACTACAACGAGGACAAACAGTTGACAGCTCGCACGCTCCACGGTGTCATGCAGAATATTCGTGACATTGTTAACCTCAAGAAATCCGACTTCTGGAACGTTGGTGGCCCAGCTTGGCAGAAGATCGTCGTTTGTCTTGTTTTTGACGGTATCGACCCCTGCGACAAGGATACGCTAGACGTACTAGCCACAATTGGGGTCTACCAGGATGGTGTCATGAAGAAGGACGTTGATGGAAAGGAAACTGCTGCCCATATCTTCGAATACACCACTCAACTGTCCGTGACGGCCAACCAGCAGTTGATCCGCCCTTCTGATGACAGTACAAACACGCTGCCCCCCGTGCAGATGATGTTCTGTCTGAAACAAAAGAATACCAAGAAAATCAACTCCCACAGATGGTTGTTCAACGCCTTCGGCCGTCTCCTGAATCCAGAAGTGTGTATTCTTCTCGATGCCGGAACCAAGCCCGGACCAAAATCGCTGCTCTCTCTTTGGGAAGGGTTCTACAATGACAAGGACTTGGGAGGGGCTTGTGGTGAAATCCATGCCATGTTGGGTCGAAACGGCCGTAAGCTGCTCAATCCTCTGGTTGCCGGACAAAATTTCGAGTACAAGATTTCCAACATTCTGGACAAGCCTTTGGAGAGTTCTTTCGGATATGTTAGTGTGTTGCCCGGAGCTTTCTCTGCCTATCGATTCCGGGCTATCATGGGTCGGCCTCTAGAGCAGTACTTCCACGGTGATCACACTCTATCGAAGAAGTATGGTAAGAAGGGTATTGAGGGGATGAATATCTTCAAGAAAAATATGTTCTTGGCCGAGGATCGGATTCTCTGTTTCGAGCTTGTGGCAAAGGCAGGGTCAAAATGGCACTTGACCTACATCAAGGCCGCCAAGGGAGAAACCGATGTTCCTGAAGGAGCTGCCGAGTTCATTGGACAACGTCGAAGATGGCTGAACGGTTCGTTTGCCGCCAGCATGTACTCAATTATGCACTTTGGCCGAATGTAGGTTGAAAACGATTGATGGTGGTGCCTCCAAAAAGCTAACATCAAACAGGTACAAGAGTGGTCACAATTTTGTCCGCATGTTCTTCCTCCATATCCAGTTGTTGTACAACACGTTCAACGTTATCCTGTCTTGGTTCATGCTGGCATCTTTCTGGCTTACCACCAGCGTTATCATGGATCTGGTTGGAACTCCCACCGCTGCATCCGAGACGAGCGCCGAGCATCACGCTTGGCCCTTCGGTGATACTGCAACTCCGATCATCAACACCATTCTGAAGTACATGTACCTCGCATTCCTACTTGTGCAGTTCATCCTTGCGCTCGGTAACCGACCAAAAGGTTCGAGAATTACCTACATAATCTCGTTCATAGTTTTCGGTGCTATCAACGCATACCTCATTGTCCTGTCCTTCTATCTGGCCATCAACGGTATCAGTGGATCTAGTATCGACACAACAGGCGCTGATGAATTCTTTGCAAGTTTCTTCGGGGATTCCGGTGGTGGTGGTGGTATCATCATTATCGCGATGGCGGCTACCTTTGGTCTCTACTTCGTCGCATCATTCTTGTACTGTGATCCATGGCACATGTTCACTTCTTTCGGGCAATACCTGCTCCTCATGTCTTCCTACATCAACATCCTCATGGTCTACTCATTTTCCAACTGGCACGATGTTTCATGGGGTACCAAGGGCTCCGACAAAGCTGACGCTCTTCCTTCTGCTAAAACTAAAAAGGAAGACGGAAAGGGGGCAGTCATCGAAGAAATAGACCGGCCTCAGGAAGACATTGACAGCCAGTTCGAATCCACAGTGAAACGCGCACTGAAGCCCTTCGTCCCCGAAGTGGAGGTCGAAGAGAAGACTCTTGAGGATTCGTACAAGTCCTTCAGAACGAAACTCTTGGTCTGCTGGATCTTCTCGAATGGACTATTGGCGGTCGTTATCACTAGTGACAGCGTCAATAAGTTCGGATTCGGAGTACGTACAATTCATCTGAACATATGCTACATACACATTGCTAACTCACATTCCAGAGCGTTAGTGCTGCCGAACGCACGCAAAAGTTCTTCGTCGTCCTGCTTTACGCCACCGCCATCCTGGCCCTTGTCCGTTTTATCGGATGTATGTATTTCCTGGGCCGCTCAGGAATCATGTGTTGCTTCACCAGACGTTAATCTCGGCCTCTGTGTCGCAGAAGAAGAGAAGCGGGATCTTGAGGGTTTTGCTACGGTCTGTCCTGGAAATTGGGATCGGGGGAGGATGAGGACGGGGGCCCCCTCTAAACACTATCTACAGCATGTGTGCCTGGCCTTCTGCATTTGCACATAGTGGCGTTCTTTTGCAGGATATTCTCTCTGCCTCTCCGCAGGTGAAGGGAAGAAATGTGACGGATGTGAGAGGGGGAGTCTGGCTCAGGTTCCATGTGTGTCGCTCTTCTCCCTCGTTGGTGGACTTGCGTTGGTTTGTCTGTGTCTTGAGCGAGAAAAATTGAATACCCGTCACGACTTTCGCTAAATGTCCAAATATTGTGCCAAGGGGTTGGTTTGTGAGACTGGGGTAAGATTGGTGAGATGGCCCGCTTTCCTCGTCAGTTATCTATCCTCGCTGAGTTTGTTTCGGGCTCGAGGCTGCAGCTATATCTGACTGCTTGAAGTTTTACGATGTGGGTAGGGAAGCAGGTACGTATCCTACCTGCCAACTCTGCCGCGCGAAGCTCCCTATCCCGAAGAAGAAGAAGCCCGGGAGGAAAAAAGCTCCCTTCGGACGCACCAGCTGGCTCGGCTCGCACGGGGCCAACTCTCGATCACGATGAGGCAAGTTCTCTCGCCTTTTTCTACTGTATCTTTCCTACTACTATAGTACCGGTATGCTCTTTCAGGTGTATTATGCACCTCTTGTTTTTGCTGATGTGCTGAGTAGTAGGCTTTGCTTGCTTGCTTGCTTGGCCTTGGTGGTAGCGGGGTTTGTAGCGGGGTTGGTAGCGGGGTTGGGATCGGGGTTGGTAGCGGGGTTGGGATCGGGATTGGGATCGGGATTGGTGTCGGGGTTGGGATCGGGGTTGGTATCGGGATTGTCATCCGAGTCGCTGTTGCTGGACCCCGACCACTCGTCGTCTTTCTTATCTCCTCTCGAGGCGAAGTTTGTAATTACTACAGTACTACAGTACGTCCCAGGCGTAAGTATTACCCCTCGAGGGTAGGGTAACCAGGGGGGGGTTTAAAGTGGAAACTAAACTTTTGAGGCACCCTCCAGGGGTACTACCGGTAGGTACTACTACGTACTACTACTTAGGCCTGTACCGTGGTACCGGTAGTTGACGTGTTTAAAAGCTACTGTAGGTTTACGCTCGCTGTTCGCGGCAATTGCCTGAACTACCGGTAGTGGAGGCTGGGCGGTGGATACTCGGGTTTGAGTATCTAGTCGGTAAGTTAGTCAGTTGCTTAGTTCGTAAGTTCGTAAGTTAGCTAGTTAGTAAGTTAGTAAGTAAGTACACTCACTGGGTGGGTGGGTAGCAAGCAGGTGCTGGCTCGTCGATGTCGTCGGGCACAAACAAAAGCAGAAGCGCACGCACAAGCAGCTCCCTTTTCTCTTCTCTTCTGGGTTCTCTGGTATGTTAACTTCGAGAGCGAGAGGGGGAGGGGGAGGACGGCTGCGGAGCAAGCTGATGTCCGCCTGAGTCCTGGGGAACTTGGGCTTCTGGTCTGAACGGAAGAACGATCGATCACATCTGTCTGCGAGGGAATCGTTATTACTTGCTACTTTTGAATTATTATTTTTTTGTCTGTCGATAGTGGCCTGAGATCTTCGCTGGGCTGGCTGGTGGGTGCCGTGGCTTTGGTGTGCTCCCTAGTTGTGGTCGGTATGCTAGGCGTGCTACAGGAACGAAATCGGACCTGTTTGACCTCGTCGGTGAGTGTGTAGGTATGGATGGAGCGCCACGGCTATCGTGGATCAGCCCTGCGGGCTGGAACTGAGAAGATGGCGTGCATCTGTCTTCGTGGAGAAAGCCGGCGGGGCATGGGCTTCTTGTATCTCGACGACGACGACGATGATGATGATGAGCTTCTCCCGGGTGATTTCCTTTACCGGCGCTGCGGACATGCATCTGTGTTATTGCAGATGGTTTGTGCGTCAGCAAGTGTTCCCGGAGCATAGAACGGACGGGCCGCTCGCTGGTGATCGCTGGAGAGAGAGAGAGAGAGAGGGAGGGAGAGCTATGCTGTAAATTTTTTTTTTTCTTTGTTTTTGTTTTTTCCCCCCCGGATATTGCCATTTCCCTCGCATGGTGAATTCACATGTTTTTTTTTTTGATGAGATGCTTTCGCTGATGTGTGATTTTTTTAGAGGTCATTTATCTTCCGGCTCTGGGTGCTTAAATCGTTACCCAAAACTTGCATTATCTTAACTAGCTTTAGATTGGTTCACTTGAAGTCTGCAGCGATTGGCAATGGATACATACGTATCATCGTTAGATAGATACGGCATATGGCTGGCTATTGCGAGACGCTCTGCATTTCCAACCTTGGTAGTGTTGATAATGAACCGGTCTTCAACGAACGAGACACGATGCGAAATCATGGCCATAGCCCTCCTCCCCACCTCGTTTATCATCGATCATTGCTGATTCTAGTACCCAACAATTGAAAACTAGGTCACGATTCCTTGTGTCATTGACAAACTTCTGCTATCTCGATAATTCTCTGAACGGAAGAAATACGGAAATTTTTAAGTGTAAACGCCGGTTGGGGGGTTATTTTTCCAGCTCGCTCTGGTGTGTGTATATTCACGATTTTATTTATTGCATTGCATTAGCTGATCTTGCGAGGTGAGGCTGAACGTTCAATTCAATTTAATGTGAAATTTAGCGCTTTGCGCTTGCATATTCAGAACCGAAGTAGGAGAGCTGCCCCCATGGGGTCGTGAAATGCTGGTATGTAAACATACTCATGTCACTAGTCTCGCTTAACTCGAGGACATGGAAAAATGTTTCGTGCAATGAATGCCCTGCTTGCAGGGATGGTCGCTACCAAAAGCTCTGAATCCGAATCAATCGGGCTCTTAAGCTTTTGGGCTCTGTTTAACAAGGCGTGAAATAGGATATGTATCTATTTATTGAGTGGGGAGGTAGGCGAAAGAGATGATATAAGGCTTTTTCGGATCCGATTCTCAGCCGAGGAGGGGATTCCATCTCGGAGAATTCGCCCAGAGCAAAAACCTGCCTTTGACATGGAAAAGCTGCGTTTATCGTGCCGACGACATAAAAGCATAACCAAAAGTTCCCGAACAGACAACCAAATCCACCTCGAGAATCCTAGAGTGGGTTAGCGTGCTGCGCCCCCTATATCCCCGTAAACCGGCCTATCAGAGCCGAGTACACCGGATGGTCCAGCCGAGCCCAGAGATATATGTCGACCGGGTGCAATCAGTTGTTCGTAGACGCTTCAATGTACGGTGGAGTATAAAACGTCTCTGGTACTGATTCCCCTTCTCGAAAGTCCGTGGTCTCCATATCCCGCTCAGCTCACGTCTACCACCGACCCAGTCTCGGCCAATATGGAGACGGCTAGTTTCAACCCCGACACCGATATCCCCTCCCTCAAAGACAAAGTCATTTTCATCACTGGAGGTTTGTCGCGGTACCTTCCCGTCTCTGTGAAGGCTTCTTTTCTAACGCCTCTCAGGTACGGCTGGGATAGGAGCCGCGTCGCTACAGGCTCTTGCCCGACACGAACCGGCCCACATCTACTTCGGCGGGCGGAACCAGCAGGCGGCCGCGTCTCTGATCTCCAAGATCCGAGAGACCACCCCCACGGCACCGCTCACCTTCGTCGGGATGGACCTCTCGTGCCTGGCCTCGGTCAAGGCCGCCTGCGAGCACTTGGCGCACGACCGGCTGGACGTCTTGATGTGCAACGCCGGGGTCATGGAGGTGCCGCCGGCCGTGAGCGCCGACGGCTACGAGATCCGCTTCGCGACGAACCACCTGGGCCACGCCATGCTGATCCGGCAGCTGCTGCCCGTCATGCTCAGCACGGCGCGGGCCCCTGGCGGGGATGTGCGGATCGTGATCCTGTCGTCGAGAGGGTGGGCGATGCATCCGAAGGGGGGGATCCAGTTCTCGAGGTTAAAGACCAAGTCGGATGGCTATGTCGAGAGGGGGTTCCTGTATTCGTGTGTTCTCTCTCTCTCTCTCTCTCCCCTTGCGTTGATTGAACCTACGGCGAAGAAAGAAAAAGAAGGAAGAAGAGAAAAAAATTGATTCGTGCGCAGACAGAGTAAACTGGCCAACCTCGTCTACGCTGCCGAGCTGGCCAGGAGATACCCCAGCATCACTTCGGTGTCGATCCACCCGGGCGTGGTGGAGACTGGCATGAGTACTGGTATGGGTATGATTGCGAAGACTTTCGTCCAGCTCAAGAATCTGCTTCTGGGAGCCTCCTATGTAAAGGAGACGGAGGGGATGCTGAACCAGGTACGAATATATATCTATATCTATATCTATATCTATATATATCTACCCACCGTCGTCGTCTTCATCATCTTCTTCTTCTTCATCTCCCAGGCGAGCGGCATCTCACAGCGCCCACACACAAGCACCGGGAAATGACATGCTGCTACTGTAACTAACACTTCACAGCTGTGGGCCGCCACCCTTGCGAAGAAGTCCGAGCTGGTAAACGGAGGATACTACGAGCCCGTGGGCGTCTTGTATAACGGGAAGCTGGATGCCACGGCCACCGATCCGGATCTGGCTAGGAGGTTATGGGAGTTTACGGAGGAAGCCTTGGATAAGATCCTCTAGTCCTGTCCCGTCCCCGGAAGACGATAAATGAAAGAAGATTAGACTATCGAGCTGAAGATTATTGGCGGTGTAATAAGCCTGCCGTTTTTTTTGATTGATTTGACTTGATTTGAGGCCGAGGCCATAAGCCCTCATCACCCATCTCCATACTTATCGAACAAGCACATTTTATCTCAGGAGAAGGAGAGAGCAGATCTCCGGAAATATATTCCACGTCTTGCTCGGATCAACCCAAATGACGCCATGGTATTTGTATTTAACCATCTCGGTTCCCAGGGGCCAGAGGGGCAAGGTTTTGTATGATGCCGTTCTCTGGTCATCTCAGTCAACATCGCTTAAGTAAAGGGGTAAATTGAAATTGGAATGCAAGCCCTCCCTCCCAAG